ACCTTCACACTGAGGTAATCTCTAGCTTTTTTTTTTTTTTTTAAATAGATAGTGTCTTGCTGCTATGCCAGGATTCGGAGGCAGATTTATTTAATATCAGTCAGGCACTAACAAAGAACCAATCTTTAGAAAAATGTCTCTGGTCTCTGGTGCTCTAGGGTTTATGTGGGATAAGCAAGCAGGAAGTACAGAGGCAGAATGGCTTGTCAGTTGGGGATTGGTTCTTATAATACGCATCACAGTGACCAGCTATTTCTTAGAAACAAAAGATCTATTACCTGGGTAACAAACTGAAGTATTCTGGGGTGGAGGGAATCTTCTACCATGCCACTATATAGTCTAGTTTGGCCTCAAATTTGGGTCCTCTTGCCTCAGTCTCTTGCATGCTGGATTTTTTTTTTTTTCAATGTCTTATTGCAGATAGTCTTTCTTTCTTTCTCTCTCTCTCTCTCTCTCTCTCTCTCTCTCTCTCTCTCTTCTTTGTTTCTTTCTTATTTAAAAGGAAAAAGAGAAAAAAAGCAGAACAAAACAAAACAGTGTAAGGGTACAAATAATTCAGAACTACAAAAAAAAAAAAAAAAAAAAAAACCCAGTAAGCGATCACCAGTTAATAGATTACTCGCTGTCATCTTACAAACGGTGTTTCAGGTCACAGGATCAAAGCATACAAAGTGAACATTCAAACAGTGAGACTGCAAATAGTTGTGTTCAGTAATTCAATCAAAAAAAATTTTTTTTTTCTTTTGGTCTTTTTCATTTTTACCGGTACCAGGGATCGAACTCAGCAACTGCCTGCTTGCAAGGCAGGCGCTTATGCCACTGAGCTAAATCCCCAGCCCCTCAATCAAAAATATTAATATGGTCTTCTATTTAACACACCTAATCACCCTTGCTGTTGTATCCTTCAGGGCACTTTTCTTTCCCCCTCTTTATTACAACAAAATTTACACATTTTGGGTTTTATTGCTCCCTTAGATGTTATTACTTTTTTTTTTGTAAGAGAATAAAATCAAGCATGATAAAACAAAGTTGTCAGTCAAAAACAAGGATAGACATAGCACATGATGTAAAAACACAGTTCAAGGTTATCAACAATGGTTACCATAATGCCTCTTGCTTTCTTAAGAAGAATTGTCTATCTCATTAGGTATTATAAAGTTAAACAAAACAGTAGAGAACAAGACCAATAAAACCTAAACATTATAAATCTTACAGAACCTCAAAAGAGGATAATAGTCAAACCAGAATGGGCATCATAGTGAATCTTATTGCCTTCAAAGTAGTTGCCTATACTGTGATACTTGATACTTTCATACAGAGCAGAATAGAGTCTAATCAGTCAAAACAAGATAACGGGGGTATTACAGGACTTCAAGTTAATAGGAAATCAAAAAAGTTACTATAATATATCCTGCTAGTTTTTTAAATTTTTTTTCCCTTAGTTTAAAAAAGAAATTTATTCCAGATAGTCTTGTTGAGTTGTCTAAACTAGCTTTGAATTTGTAATCCTACTGTTACAGCTTCCTAAGTAGCTGGGATTACAGGGTGGGTCTTTTAAAATTTCTTTGAGCAATGTTTTCAGTGTAGGGGATTTTTACTTTCTTGATTAGACTTTTATAGATGCCAGTTATAAATGACATTTTTAAAAAATAAAATGGATTATATATGGCTGATACATAATGATATAGGGGAATGAAACACCCAACTTACTATGTCCAGTATGAGCTCCTGTTCTCTAAAATTGAAGAATGAATTTTAGAAACAAATATATTTATTGAGAGAAAGAAACCTTCTGTGTGCGAGAGACACAAGGGGACCAAAGCAGGTTGCCCAGGATTCTGTCTTTTCCATGTACTTTTATAGAGTAAAACCTTGGGTTCTAGGTGGGGGAGTGGGGAGACTGGGAACTCACAAAGTAAATGGGGCATAAGTGGGACCTAACTATGGTTAGCCAATAAGATCAATAGTTTAGGTAAAATTGATGCCATTAGGGACAAATGGGAAAGCAAATTGTGTAGGAAGGGGGCATTCTTGAGAGTTGTGACCTTTCCCCTAGGGGGATAGGTAGGTATGTAGTGACTTCAGAGTGATAGGAAACTATTTAAGGTATCAATCCCATGATATGGGTGCCTTTGTATGGTCTTTGTCTTGAAGCCTAGCCCACAACAGAAGGCCTCAGCTTCCCTGGTAGGTGCCAGGTGTCTGCACTGGCTACACTGAGGACCTAGCTCTATCTCACTGCCTGTATTTCTAACTAGCTCAGCTGCCTACAACAATAGGAATAAGCCTGAGCTTGCTTAGGGTTTCTTTGGAGTTTTCCATATGTAGAATCATATCATCTGTGAATAAAGCTAAATGCTTTTCTTCCTCAATTCATATTTTTATTTATTGCCTAATTGTGACTTCCATTACAGTGTTAGATAATAATGGTGAAAGTGTCCTTGTCTTGTTCCTGATCTTAGGAAAAAACTTTTAGTCTGTCCGTTGAGTGTGATGTTATGAGTTTTTCATAAATGCTTTTTATCATGTTAAAAGTTTCCTTCTATTCACGGTTCTCTGAGATTGATTGATTTAGATCGTGAAATCTGTTGAAGGCCAGAGTACAGCTCAGCTGCATGGCAATTGCCTCATAAGCGCAAGGTCCAGAGTTCGATTGCCAGTATTGAAAAAGAAAAAAAAATGTTGGAATTTGTCAAAAGTACTGTATCAAGTAAAATTTCCTTTTCTCCTCCTGCTCTTCGTGGTCTTCACTAGAAATCAAACTCAGGACCTTGTGCTTGCATGGCAAGCACTTAAGCCGCTGAGTTATATCCCTGGCTTTAAAATTTCATTTCTAGTGCTAGGGGTTTAGCTCAGCGGCATAAGCTGAGTAGCACACACCTACAATCCCAGCACACAGGAGGCTGAGACAGGAGGATTGTTGTGAGTTCAACACCAGTTTGTGATAGAATTTTTGGCACAGCTAGAAAGATAGAAATATGAAATAAAAGTGGCCTTTATTTTAAGAACGTGGAGAGAAAACCTCCCTACCTTTGGGGTCTGGCTTTTCTCTTGCCAGGTACTGGTGTGGGGGGCATACATATAGTTTAGGTTTTGGGGTAGTGCCTAAGGGGCATTACTGATGGACAAGTAGCCCATTGGAATTCATTTCGCACCACAGGTAAATTGCCTCGGTATGGGGAAGATGACCTCAAGATAGAGCCCCTTAGTTTTGCCTCCTAGCCTCCCACCGCTGCAGCGTCCCATTTAGGGCAAAATCCTTTCAGTTTGGGCTACAAAGAGCTCAAAAAGACACACCCCCCACCCATAAATAAATAGATATTTATATACATGTTAAACTCTGAACCAAGTAATATACTTTTGAGGGGAACTCATTTTTATGCTCACTCTAGAAAAACTTACTGCTCACTACTAAGAGTACATAAAATAATGGATCCCACAAAGTGTCCATATCCTACTCCCTAAAACCTGTAAGTATGTTAGGTTGTATTTGGGTGCATGTCAAAGAGCAATTAGGTTGCCAGTCAGCTAACCTTGAAACAGTAAGATTGTTTAGGATTATCTGGGTGAGCCAGAGAAATCACAAGGATCTTTACAAGTAAAGAAGACAGAAAATGAGTGAGAAAGTATAGCTTTTCTGGAAAAACTTAGCAAAATGAAACATTACTTTGAAGATAGGCAAAGGATTGTCTTTTTCAGGAGTAAGGGTGCTGAGAAGCGAATGCATGGACTCGTGCATATTTGGTAAATATTTTAGTGCGGAGCCACATCTGTGGCCCAGCTTTTGTTTTGTTTTGTTGTTTGTCTTTGTCTTTTTGAGGCAGTGGCTTGTTACGCAGTTCTGACTGGCCTTGAGCCCACTCAGTTTGCATCAGTCTTCTTGCCTCAATCTCCTGAGTGCTGAGATTACAGCCGTGCACCACCAAGCCCAGGTCCATGACTCCATTTTAAAATTTTAGAAAGGGTCTTGCTAGGCTTTTCCTTCATCAACCTTGTGAATAGCTGGGATTACAGATGTGGCACTTAGCAGAGGTAGTTTTTAGTAACACAGGGAAAGGAATCTTCCCTAGAGCCTCCAGAAGTGAGTGCAGCACTGCCAACACATGTGATTTTGAATTTATTAGATTTATATCTATAGAAATGCAAAATAATAGATTTGTGTTGTTTTATACCATGAAGTTTTTGGTAATTTGTTCCAGTAGCAATAGAAGATAAATACAGTTACTCAAGCATGTTTTATTCTACCATTTATTGTAGTGTTTGTTTTCTCCAAACAAACTAAAGTTCTAGATTGTTAAAACTGTATTCGTTATTAAATAAAAACCTATCTCAAAGCTTCTATACCCACAAAACTTTTTCCTCTGCTTCATCTACCCTGAATCCACTACCCAAATTTTTCTACTTTGTCTCTTCTGTTAGACTTTTAATCTTCTTTTGGTTTCTGATACGGTGTTTGTTTGTTTGCTGTATTGAGACAGGGTTTCGCCATGTAGTTCAAACTGGCCTTGAACTGGAGGCAGTCCTGCTGCATCAGCTCCTCAATGCTGGGATTACAGATGTACACAACCATGCCCGGCTAATAAAGTTTCAAAATACAATATTTGATGTTTATTATTTTATTCTTTTAAGAATTCTGTTTCACATATATATATTTGTATGTATCTTAATTAGGTTGTATATGTAAGATTTTTGTACTCCATATTGTAATACATTTAATTTTTTAAAAATTGCCTTTATCTTCCATTTTAGACTGTCAAGTTGACTCTATTTTACTCATCGTGTGTTTTCTATTGTAGCTCATCTTGGATATTGGTCTAAATGAATGTTTAAAGTGTTTAAAAAATGTTTTTAGAACTTCACATTTAAGCCTGAATAAAATGAATTGTTTTCTCCCTTAATGAAAACTAAACAAGATTTAGGAACAAAAGAAACCTAAGGAGAACTAGTGTTTTGTATGTCACCTTTTGGATATTTTAGTGAATGTGATATTTGTTTTGTAGAATGGAGATGTATGCATTTCGATTCTTCATCCACCCGTAGATGACCCACAGAGTGGAGAGCTGCCTTCTGAAAGGTGGAATCCTACTCAGAATGTGAGGTAAGGTGTTTTGAGGAATACATGCTTTTTTATTTTTGTTTTCAGTGTTTTGAGGAATACATGCTTTTTTATTTTTGTTTTGTCTTTTCAGGGGAGGGTCTGATAGTTCTCTAGTACTATAATCTAACCTCAAATTCCTGGGGTCCAGAAATTCTTCTGCCTCGACCTCCTCCTCCCCAAGTACCTAGGAACCTACAAGAACAAACTCCTGAATAATTTTTTGTGTATGTCCTAGAATCTCATTACTTCTAGTAAAGTACAGTTATACATTATTTCTTAACTGAAGCAAAAGAATCATTTCTCTGTTTGGTGGTTATGGTAAAGGTATGTATGCATCACTTGGAAGCTGTTGTGTTTCTGAGCAGTAATGCATGTGATTCTCATTTTTCTGTGGTCACTACTGTGGAAATCTTCAAGTCTTTGTTATTCCTCCTACATTATCTTAAATTTGGCTTTGCCTCTTTGAATCCCATGACTTCTGTGTTTAATTTTTTTAACTTGGTATTCCTTTTACTTTTGAAAGAAAGTCTTAGGCTCTACAAACTCAAAATTGGTTTATATGTTGTTTTGAAAAGAGCTTTAGTGCTTTATGTTTATTGTGTGGGTATGTAGGTATGTGTGAGATGGTTTGGTTTGGAAGGCTTAATCGTACTTGCTTTTTGACTATCCACTGATTGATTAAATCTATGGACTTATCTTGATAGGTTTGAATCATTTTTGTTTAGTGTTCTATGTGTGTAGTAAGTAGATGATCATATACTTCTTAAAAGAATTTTTCGGGGCTGGGGATTTAGCTCAGCGGCATAAGCGCCTGCTTCGCAAGCAGGCAGTCATAAGTTCAATCCCTGGTACTGATAAAAAATGAAAAAGACCAAAAAAAAAAAAAAAACAACAGAATTTTTCAAAAAACTATTTATACTGTTTCATGTTTTTAAGTACAGTTTTTTATCTTAAATTTAAATAATTAAAAATAGTCTTATGGTCACATACCATGTATGAGGCCCTGGATTCAATCTATAGTATTAAAAAAATTCCTTTCTTGCACTCAAATTTGCATTTTATTCTCCCTACTGAATTTTACCCTAATACTTGAAATTTTTATGCTTGATACCTTGTACTATTTATCTGTCCTGTAATATATTTCTGTGAACATCTTTACGTATTTATTTGAGTGACAAACTAAAATTCTGTTGACTTATATTACTGATAATCAGTTCATTAAAAACTGTGTATTAGAATTCCTGTGCATTTTTAATCACTGGAAATACCTTCTCTTTCATTCCTTTCCTTTCCATTGTGGTACTGGGGATAAATTCGGGGCCTCATGAATGCTGGGTGAGTGCTCCACCACTATAAACTGTAGCCCCGGGAAATCCACCCTCCCGTGCTCCTCCCACTTTCACCTCTCTTATCTCCCTTCTCTCCCCTCCCATCCCTTCCTTCCTTCCTTCTTTTTTGTAGTGCTGGGGTTTGAACCAGGGCTTCATACATGCTAGAAAGCACTGTAGTGCTGTTAAATCCCTAGCTCTTTTTTCCCCCTTATTTTTAATTTCAACATAGAGTCTTGCCCAGATTTGCCTTAAATTTGTATTCCTCCTGCCTTAGTCTCCCAAGTACCTGAATTACAGGTGTGTACCACTGACCTGGTGGAAATAGATTTCTTAATAGATAGACATTTATTTTCTGTTAGTTCATGTATCCATGAATAATTGCAGTATTGCTAGAATGATGCAGAGTTCAGCTTCAGTTTTATTTATATAAACATGCATATAAAATACATAAATACATGTATATTTATAAAATAATTAATAGATATTAGACTGAAAGACTAAGAAATCCTATTTACATATAGTAATAGAATAATTTAATGTATTTTGAAGGGATTGTTTTGTTATATTTCAGTTTTGTTTTGTTTTTATCGATACTGGGGATCGAACTCATGACTGCATGCTTGCAAGGCAGGTGGTTATGCCGCCGAGCTAAATCCCCAGCCCTATGTTTCAGTTTTTTAAGACAGGCCTCACTATATACCTCAGGCTGGCATTGAACTCACTATGTAGCCCAGGGTAGCCCTTGAACTTGTGGTCCTTCTGCCTCAACCTCATGAGTGCTGAGATTATAGGTATGCACTCCAACACCTGGCTTGAAACTATGAATTATTTGTCAAAAAAATTTGTAGTGTTCTGTTGTCATTTTTGTTTATAAAAAAGCTCTGTTGCTGGCACAGCACCTGCCTGGCAAGTGCAAGGTCCTGAGTTCAATTCCCAGTACTGGGTGAGGGGGAAGGCTTGATTATCATTTGATTATCACTTTATTAACACTTCTTTTTTTTTTTTTTGGTCTTTTTTCATTTTTATCGGTACCAGGGATCGAACTCACGACTGCCTGCTTGCAAGGCAGGTGCTTAGGCCAAGCACGCTGAGCTAAATCCCCAGCCCCTCATTAACACTTCTTATTGTCTGTGGTTTTTATTGTAGTTGTTCTTGCTGGATAGAGATATATCTTTGTAATTTTCTTATCAGTGTCTTTTCTTAACTAATCTTATTTTAAATAGTTCAATAGTTTTAAGAATAGTACTGGAAATTACTTAGAAAATAAAGAATTCCAATTTATCCTACTGTTTTGCTCTACTTGTTAAATGATAGTAGGGATTGAATGCATGGTTTTTGCACTGAGCTATATCTGCAGAACTTTTTAGTTTTGAAACAGGGTCTGAATAAATCGTCAAGGCAGAGTTTAAATTTACATTCTTCTGCCTTCATCTTCCATGGTGCTGGGATTACACATGTGCACTACACACCCCATTGTTAAGTGTCTCTTGACTGTGGCACAGTTTCTTAGACTGCTCTTGTTTTTGATGCCCTAGATAGTTGTTGTTATTGTTGTTTGGTACTGGGGATCAAACTCATGACTTAGTACTTGCCAGGCAGGCATTTACACCACTGAGCTAAATCTCAGCCCATGGCCTTGATAGTTTGGAAGTTTACTGAATAGGTAGTCTGTAGAATGACCCTCAGCTGGAGATTAAACAAGAATATTGAAGTAGAGTGCCATTTTCATCACTTTACCTATGGAATATTTACTGTCAGCATAAAGGGCACTGTTTCAGTCACTTCTCTCTCTGTACTCCTTAGAAGGGAGTTCATGTGCACAACTCACACTTGAATCAAAAACCGTCTTTCCTCGAGGATATAAATAGGCATTAGTTTTTAGAGCACTTTTTTTTTTTGTTATCTTTTTCCTTTTCATCGGTACGGAGGATCGAACTCATGACTGCCTGCTTGCAAGGCAGGCACTTATGCTGCTGAGCTAAATCCCCAGCCCTAGGCATTATTTTTTGTGCTAATTGTTGGTGCAGAAAATTTTTGCTATGCTATATTCTGTTCCTTTTACTTTATGTAGGACCCCACATTTGTGGAATTGATTTTTCTTTAGATCCTTTCTACTTTCTTTCACTGTTATGGGTTAAATTATTTCCCTCACAAAAGTGTTAAGGTCCTTAAGCTTCATTGTGACCTTACTTGGAAATAAGACGATTACAGATGAAATTTTTTTAAATAAAAATGAGGTGGTGTAGTAGTAAGGTGGACTGTTAATCCAGTGTTACTGGAGTTCATTAAGAAGAAAAGAGGCACGCAGAGTAGAAAAGTTTCATGTGGCAATAGAGGCATAGCTGAAAGTGATACTTCTGTAAGCCAGTGAATGTTACAGATGGCTGACAAACAACAGAAACTGGGAGAAACAAGAACTCCCTCCTTTCTCCCTCTGTGGTTTTAGTGTTCCCTAACATCCATGTTCCCTAACATCCATGGAAGACAAATAACATCCAGGGAAGATAATCAAATTTTTGAGGAATTTTGTACCAGTAGATATACTGTCAGTCTGGAATAAAAGAAACAGAGACAGGATGATATGAAAGAAAACTTAACTATGAGGGCAGGGTAATGAATACAGAATCCAGAGAAGGCATAAGAGGAGATAGGTGCCCTCCATGGTTCCAGAGAGCAGAGACACGGCCCAAGACCAAGAGAGTGGACTCGTGCTGTGGGCTCTTAGGACAGCATGGAGCCACCTCTGGCCCTGGCTGGTCTCAAGCCCCGAAAGGCAGTTGAATTTGTCATATTAGGTTTGGACTTCTTTGGAACCTGTAATCTCTTTTTCCCTTCCAATTCTGGTTTGTTTGTTTGTTTGTTTTGTAATGAGAATGTCTGTTCTATGCTTAGAAGCAAATTAATTCATTGATTGATTTCACAAGGTCCCAGATGGAGAAGAGTTTTGCCTTGTGGTTTTTTGTTTGTTTTCTGTTTTTTGGTACTGGGAATCTACTCAGTTCTGAGCAATATCCCCAGCCCTTTGCCTCATGTTGAATCCATACCCAGGTCTTACCCATAACTGTTTCATTTTGTGAGATTTGGGACCTTGAGCTTTGGTATTTAGTTGGAGATTGGTATTAAAGTTTATGCCCAAAGGATTAGAATTTTGAGGATGTTAGTACCCTAAATATATTTAGCATATGGAAAGGACATGTCTTTTGGCAGACCAGCAGGTAGGTTGTTAAGGTTTGAATTGTGTCCTCAGAACATTATAGATGAAGTCTTTTTTTTTTTTTGTACCAGGGATCAAACTCACGACCTTATGCTTGCCAGGCAGGCGCTTATGCCCCGGCTTTATAGTTGAAGTCTTAATCTGTAGTACTTTAGAACATTTTATTTGGTAATAGGCCAATTGTGGAAGTAATTATTTAAAAAGAGGACATACTGGAATAGAGTAGACTCTTAATCCAAAATGACTGGTGTCCTTTTAAAGAAGAGAATTCAGGAGTGTGGCTGTAACAATGTTAGAGCACTTCCTAGCATGTGCAAGGCCCAGGGGAGGGCAGGGACACGCAGGATAACAGATACACAAAGATGTGATAAAGGCATTGCAGTGTTGGTTTTTGCTTTGAAAAGTTTGGCTACCATATTTCCCATCCCTTTCATTTAGCATAGTTGACTTGATTT